TTTCATATATGGTTCTCCATCCTAAGACACTTCACCTTTTCTTGAAGCTTCTAATTATGTTTCCCTAGACGCTGAATCTCCTCATCTTTTTATTTGAGTTTCTTCTCCACGTTTGTCACACCATTTCTCAGGAACCCAAACACATATACCAAACCATTTTCAAATTCTTTGCTTAGTAAGTTAATCAAGTTGATATTAGGTTCCTCCAAAGTAAGTTCATGATTGACCGAGCTTACCTAATCTGTTACGAGGTTCTCCATGTCCCTTTTTGAGTTATCTAAGATCTTCATGCTCTCTGCCAAATTTGTTAGACTAACCAAGCATCCCATCAAACTGATCTAGCTTGTCTCATACTTCATTGTGCTTCCTACATTTTCCTTTGAGCTATGCAGAGGATAGTCGGGCTAGTCTCATGATCTATCAGCTACTTGGTTTCCAGACAAAGATATCAGAGCTTCTTACCTAATGTATTGTGTTATCTAAAATCTCCACAATCTTTGTCAAACTTTCTAGGTTATCCAAGCCTCATGCTCTTCCGATTTCACGACATGCTCTATTGAGCTCTTCCCTGAACCCTTCACCAAGCTCTATGCCGAACTCTTAACTCAACTCTCCACCAAGCTTCCAAGCCACCCCATGGGCTGTCCGAGCTTTCTTTTTCCATTTCCAGGTTGTTCCGTTGTTTGGCCGACCTATCCATCATACTCGTTTTCTTATCCGAGCTTTCCACAATACTCGACAATCTTGTTGACTTGCTCTTCAAACTCTCCATAGGCTTCTTCGAGCTCACTATGCGTAATGTCAGCCTCTTCAAATGCACCATTGATATGTGGGGGTGTCTTCTCGTCCTCTCCATGCTACTCAGTTGTCTTGTCGAGTTCACAGGTATGCTCGGTTATTTTCCCGAGTTCCCTTTGTTGTTCGACATTTTTGTCGAGTTCTTCTTACCATTCGAAAAATTTGCTAAGCTCTCCTTTCAACTCGACAATGTTGTCGAGCTCTACTTGCTAGTAGGACAACTTGCCAAAATGTTCTTGTGCTCGACACTGATCTCTAGTTTGAACACAACTTAGCTTCCGATCTTCCTGATGGCGCAAACTATATTCTCAAAATTGTTTCTCAACAAACTTAAGATCTTATACACAACTCGGATGCAGGCACCATTTCTGCCGAGTTGATTTGCTACGGTCTCCATCCGAGTTATGTACTTGGCTACTCATTCTCTCTATTCCATTCTCAAGTCTTTAAACTTGCCTATAAGAGTTTGAAGCCAAACTTGCTTAACATGGTTATCTGCTTTATGTGCATTTTTCAGGATCTCCCACGCTTTTCTTGAAGATGTAGTTTTTGTTATTTTCTCAAAGTCAGACTCGTCCAAAACTATGTACAATAGGTACAAAGCTAGTTTGTCCTTCACTCGCATTTTTCCTAACGCGACAATATGTGCAATATTCTGCTCTTCATCCTTTGCTAATTCTTGGTATTCATTCTCTACTACATCCCACGCGTCTTGGATTCAAGAAAAGCCTTCATTTGTAGATTCCAATTATCATAATTGGTTTTCTTTGTCAATTGCGATATGAATACCGTTTACAAGATTTGACATCTTACTCTCTTTTCCTCAAACACTCAAGCACGCTTCTCTCTTTTTCTCTCTTTTTTTTACAATGATTTGCTCCACTTTCAATTTTACCTCTTTGCATGACACACGCAAATTTCTGAATTGTAACTTTGTGTAAATTCATTGAATAAAACAGGCCATTAAATAATTATATATCAATAATCGAATACTGATCACCAAATACATGAAAATAATATTGACCAAATAACTGCCCTAATATATCAAGAATAAAAAAAGCACCAAGTACAATGAAACACAAATAGAAACATATACACAACTAACAAACCTGAATCCAACAACAACAAAAATAGAAAAAATACAATTTAAATGAAGAACAAAATACTGAAACGTAATTATAAATAAACCCGAAATTTAATTTTATCCCAACACCATATCTTCATTTAATGAATGATGTAGTTGTCACACCTTATTTAGTATCACAATAATATATAAAATTCATTGAAATTTATTTATTGAAAACTAAAAAACATGATTTTAATAGTTTCATTAAGGAGAAAATACAAATTACGTGACCATGCGTATCAATCAATACAGTATGGTATCTTTACATAAAAAGAAGTTTTCATACTAATTTTTTTATAATTGATTACAATTTATAGCTATTTATGAAGTTATCACATTATACTTTTAGGAGTATTTAGTGCATAGTATTAAACATTGAATAAACAATTGTCACAATAATGCTTCTGTTTTGTTTTTATATTGTAGGAGTAATATTAACAACGAAAGAGACAATTCAAATATCACCAAGTATGGCTGAGATGAACACAGGAGACCTTTTTTGGTTCAACATGGGAGACAAAATAGATGGTAAGATAATATTTCAGTATCTAATACACTGTTGTCAAAGCTTAAATTTGGCAGAATGGTGGCTCTGCAACACCACACATGAACTTGAACCTGGTGCATTATCATTTGTTCCTAAGCTCCTACCAATTGGTCCATTATTAAGAAGTTATGACAGTAAGTTTGGTATCACAAAAGCAATTGGACAATTCTGGGAAGAAGATCTGTCTTGCATGAGTTGGCTAGATGAACAACATCATGGTACAGTGTTGTATGTTGCATTTGGTAGTTTCACTCATTTTGACCAAAACCAGTTCAATGAACTTGCCCTTGGATTAGACCTCACCAATAGACCTTTTCTTTGGGTTATAAGAGAAGATAATAAAATGGAATACCCTCATGAATTCAAAGGGCATAAAGGTAAGATAGTTAGTTGGGCTCCTCAACAAAAGGTTTTAAGCCACCCTGCCATAGCATGTTTTGTCACTCACTGTGGTTGGAATTCTACCATAGAAGGTTTGTCCAACGGGGTACCTTTCTTGTGTTGGCCATATTTTGGAGACCAAATTCAGAACAGAAGATACATTTGTGATGAGTTGAAGGTTGGATTGGGATTTGACGAAGACCAAAATGGAGTTGTGTCATGCAAAGAGGTAAAATTGAAAGTGGAGCAAATCCTTAGTGATGAGAACACAAAATCAAGGTCTCTTGAGTTGAAGGAGAAAGTCATGAACAACATAGTCAAAGGTGGTGCATCATTGGATAACTTTAATAGGTTTGTCAAGTGGCTTAAAGAGTAGGAATTGCCATTTAAATTTAATTTATGCATATTTTATGTTAGAGAAAACTCTCGCAAAACCTTGGCAATATTTTCAAGCAATTGGATTTCTTGTTTACATGTCTTTTTATTCTATAGCGTCAAAACAACACTATGTTATGTAGCTTTTTTTTTCTTTATTTCCTTTGAGTTTGTATTGTACTATCATTGTTAATGTATATGTTATTATGAACTATATATTTAACATATTTTCCTTATAAAAAAAATTCATTAAATTCGTCATGTAGACATTCCTTACAGATTCATTTATTTATCATAACTTAATGTCAAGTTACACATGTCAAGTTAGAAAAGTTTGTGAGCATATTCTCTTGATTGTTTTCGTTTCTGTTTGCAGCCCTTTTGCAAACAACCACACATGTGCATCCTCCATTCTAACTAATTAGTGAAAAACCTTTTGGAATAGATGTTTAACTCAGTTTTGTTGTTTTTGTTTTTCATATATTGATTTTTGAAAAGTAAATAGTTTTAAACAGTGATTTTTTTTCTCAAAATAATATTTTTTTAAAGAAAAATTCTTTAAACAGATCTATTGAAAAATTAATTTCCTAAATAGACGTTCTTTGACTTTTTTGTTTCTTTATTTTATCTAAAATGGGAAGGAAAATTAAAATTAAAATTAAGAAAAATTAATTTAAAATGATTAATCAAATATATTGTGCACCAATTTTAATTACTTCGGGAGAACAAATAAAATAAAAAAATAAATTATGATTTTTTTAAATATAATTTGAAAAAAAAATTCTATTGTTAATTTTGTGGAAAAAGTATTATAATTAAAAATATTATTAATAATAATATTATAAAATTTTAAAGTTATTTTTTATTTCTTATTATTTTTTTTCTACATACCATTATAATAATAATAACTTTTATTCCAAATATATTACAAAATTAAAATCCTTAAAATATCCCATAAATAATAATTTTATTGAAAGAATTTCTTCAAAACCAATAAACATTATTTCTTCAAATGGACAGAACTTTTAAGTAACTTTTTGATGTTTGAAATAAAAAATCCCTTGGATATTCAGTTTCATGTGGACCAAATTGTGGGAGGATTTCCTTTAAAGGAGAATAAAATTAAGCATTAAAAATTAAAATAAAAAATAATTTGAAATAATTAATGAAAAATACTGAGATTTTAATTACTTTAAGAAAATTTATGAATAAAAAAATAAAATATTATTTAAAAATGGAAAGGAAATTAAATATTATTTTATTATAAACACAAGGAAAGTAAATGAAGAGGCATGCCGACTTTACCAAGTCAAATAGATAATATTTATTATATTAATATTTTAATAAATCAAATAATGAATACTTTTATATTTTATAGTATTATTAAATAGTTTTAAATGATTTTTAAAATTTTTATAAATATGTATAATTGACATTATGTAATAAAAATTAAAAAATTACACATTTCTATCATATTATGGAATCAGTTCAAGAACTAAAATAATATTTTTAATTAAAATTTGTTTGCTATCGTTCTGACAACGGTCTGCTATCATTCTGACAAAAATAATAATGTTTACAAAACTAATATTAATGTTTATATATATTTAAAAGCAATAAGTGGTTGTCTTTTTCAGGAACCAGTAGAATACCTTGTATAGAACAAGATTTTGGAAGGTGAGATAAATAAATTTCTCACTCTTGGAGAAAGAAATAATCATAATATTTTAAAAAAAAAACATAAAAATATATTTATTTTAATTCTAAATTCATAAAATAAAGAAAACCAGTATAAATAGCAAGAAATATCCCTGTATCATCACAATAATGAAAGGGGCACGAGAAAAAGATAAAACCGTGAGAAGAACATGAGCAATCTTCCAGTTGTGCTGGTGGTACCTTATCCAGCACAAGGACATGTGAATCCCTTGATGATCCTGTCACAGAAGTTGGTCGAGAATGGTTGCAGAGTGGTTTTTCTGAACACAGAATTCGACCACAGGCGAGTGGTGAGTTCGTTCGGAGAGCAACAACAACATGGTACGAACCAGGCGGTGAAGTTGGTTTCAGTTCCTGATGGGTTAGGAGCTGATGATGACAGAAACGATCTGAGCAAGCTGTGTGATGGTCTGCAGAACTCCATGCCAAAAGCACTTGAGAAGCTGATAGAGGATATGAACTTGAAAGGTGATAACAGAATCAGCTTTGTTGTTGCAGATTTGTGTATGGCTTGGGCGTTGGATGTTGGAAGAAAATTTGGGATCAAAGGAGCAATAGTTTGGCCTTCATCAGCTGCTATCTTTGCCTTGCTGTGGAGTCTTCCCTCTCTTATTCATGGTGGGACCATAGATTTTGAGGGTAAGGATGATGCTGACCTTATTCTCATACTTTATCTGTTTTTTTTTTATAAAAGAATACTTTAAATGTGATTTTATTACTTTTAAATTCAGTTTGTTTTAGTTTATTTATATTGCATGTTTTTCTAAGTGAATTAGGTCATAAAGTAACTCTGTTTGTTGTTACATGATTTTAAACAAATTGAACCATTTATACGTGTATGGAAATATAATCATAATAAGTATATTATTTTATTTGATAGGATACAGTTTGTTAAATTTTTTCATGGAAAATCTGACATGAAAAGTCTTTTAGAATTATGTTTTGTGAGATAGAATAATTTATATTAAAAATTATTAAATATTTTGATTACAAATCAAGCAAATTATTATTTTTAATTTATAACAAAACTTGACATAAAGAAAAGAGTATAAAAATATTATTTCATATGTTTTTTATTATTAGAGTAAGTTTGCACGTAAGTTATATATATAAGTGGTCCTGACGTGAAATAGAGGTTTTCTAAATTGTTAATTAGTGTTGTAGATATATGTGTAGTATATTTTATATTGGTTATTTATAAGTATGAATACCAATTAGAGAAGTAATATAGATCTTAAAGAGTGATATATGTTCTATAACAATTTAAAAACTTGTACTTAAATACATCAATATTTTAATATATCGAAATTAAATCATATCTAAATTGATCATAGTTATTAACAAAAACTAAACTAACAACATCAAAGCATATACAATTCTATCCATAACAAGTAATAATTTCTAGTACATAAAAAATATCTTAACCATGGGGAAAAACTTCTTTAATTGTGTTGATATCTTCCTCGTTCTAAAAAAAATTACAATAAAAATAAATATTAGGTTTTAAATAATATATATGAAAAATTTAATTGTGTTTTTCACGTAGTGTTTAATTATATATGTATCTTGATTAAAGATAAAATCAATTCATAAATCTAAATTTAGTTTATAATCAGTTTCTAGAAGAAAGAGTTAGAATTAAAATTCATTTACTAACCTAATATTAACATGGTATCATAAATTAGGTTACACTATATTATAGCTTTGTTAGGTTTACTATTCTATCTATTACAGGACCACTTTTTAAAGTCTAGTTTCATATAGGAAATGTAAATACCTTATTGTAAAGATGTGTTGGAAGTATCACATTAATTAAAGATAAAGCTAATTCATAATATATAAATGAATATAGATCACAACTTACAAACCGATTTTATGATATTGAATTAGGCTTAAATTTCACTTCAAACAGTATATGTAGAAAAAAAAATCAATAATATTAAGACAAATTATGATTTACATTTATGTTGATGTAATTGTAGCACTCAATGTTTCATTGTTACATATCACAATAATATATAAAGTTCAGTTAAATTTATTTATTAAAAACTAAAAAAACTTGATTTTAATAATTTTAATCAATAATATTAACACCGATTATGGGTAAAAAATAAATGATACAACTAATATATGAATGTAACTCTATGTAAATTCAATTAATAGAACAGACCACTAAATAATGTAATCGAACACTAATCATCTAGTACATGAAAATAATATTGACCAAATAATTGATCGAGTACATCAAGAATAAAAATAGAACTAGGTACAACAAAATACAAACATAAACATAAGTGGCAATCGACAAACCTGTACCTAGCAATAGCAAAACAGAAAAATACAACTTAAACAAAAAACAAAACTAAAAGCGTAATTGCAATAAACCCTAAATTTAAGTTTATTCCAAAAAAAAACTTAAATTTTTCTATCCTTCATCCCTTACCAAGTTTGCTCCTTCCATAAACAGGCAGGGTCTTTATTTTCATTATAGTCGTCCTGTTTTTCACCTTGGCCAACTTCTCTATTTCTTTGACTGACTTCTCAATAACATTAACCGACTTGTTCTTCATCTTATCTGTCTTATTAACCATGGCCAACTTTTCCCTCATAATGGTTATCTTCTTATTAACCATGGTCGTCTTCTAAGTAACCTTGCTACCACCACGAGCTATTGTAGCTTCAACTCTTTTACTATCCTCACGCTCGTTGCACATGATTCTTCCTCCAATATCATTGTTTTGGTTCATGTTTCCGTATTCATTCTCATTCATCTCTTCTCGGCCATGCTTATTTCTTTTGAAATTCGACTTATCAGTGGCGACTTCGCCAAGATGGTGCTTCTCCTTTCTAACATGGGAAAGCTCCTCTTTTAGATTGTTCTATGCCAACTCATGGGCAAACTCCTCTTTCATATTTTTATATGCCAACTCTTTTCATATATGGTTCTCTATGCTGAGACTCTTCACCCTTTCTTCAAGCTTCCAATTGGGACTATATCCTCATCCATTATCAGGCTCTCCATGTCCCTTTTTGAGTTATCTAAGATCTTCACGCTCTATGCCAAACTTTTTAGATTATCCAGACATCCCATCAAATTGATTGAGCTTCTCTAATACTTCATCGGGCTCCTTACATTCTCCTCTGAGCTATTCAGAGGCTAGTCGGGCCATTCTCATGCTTTATCAAGCTACTTGGTTTCCAGACAAAGATATTTGAGTTTCCTACTTAATGTATTGTGTTATCTAAGATCTCCACACTCTCTGCCAAACTTTCTAGGCTATCCAAACCTCATGCTCTTTCGACATGCTCTATTGAGCTCGTCACTAAACCCTCCACCAAGCTTTACATCAAACTCTTAACCCAATTCTCTACCAAACTTCCAAGTCACCCTTATGGGTTGTCCGAGCTTTCTTTTACCCTTTTTATGTTGTTCTGTTGTCTGGCCGACCTATCCATCATACTCAATTGTTTATCCGAGATCTCCATACTACTTGGCAATCTTGTCAAGTTGCTCTTCAAACTCCCCATACGCTTCTTCTAGCTTTCAATGCACGATGTCAACCTCTTCAAATCCACCATTGATATGTTAGGGTGTCTTCTTGTCCTCTCCATGCTACTTAGTTGTCTTGTCGATTTCATAGGTATGATCATCTTTTTTCCCGAGTTCTCTTTGTTGTTCGGCATTTTAGTCGAGTTCTTCTTGCCATTTGGCAAATTTGCTGAGCAATCCTTTTTATTCGGCAATGTTGGTGAGCTCTACTTGCTAGTAGCCAAACTTTTTGAAATGTCCTTGTGCTCGTCACTTGATCTCTAGTTCGAACACAACTCAGCTTCCAATCTTCTTGACATCATGCAGCTCAGCTCAACATCCAGTCTCCTTCCTATCATATAACGTGGACGTAGCTTGGCATCTGGTCTCCAGCTCGGCATATTGGTGTTCGAGCTCTTTGCCATCAACAAAATTCCTATTTCTTCCTCATCCTCTTCAGTAAGGAAATTCCTAAAAGTACTTTGTTATGTGAACAACCTTACTAGAGTGATAGCATCTTGTCGATCTGCACTCATTTGTATAGTGGTTATACTTTCCACATTTAAAACACTCCACTATTAGACGACCTTCCCAAGCTCTACCTTGTCCTCGACCACACCCATTCTGCTGGCTAATTTGTTCTTTGTCGTCTTCATGGTCATCTCGATCATGACCTCTGGTTCATTGACTTTCTCAGCCTTTTCCACCAAGACCTCGACCTTGAGTGTTTTAAGCATTTCTCTACACGTCAAGTTTTGCTTGAAGTACTTGATCAAGTGGCTGTGAATTTTTCCTTCTCTACTGCTCATGCACTCTAAGGACCAAACAAGCACTTCAACTAAGAGTGTTCATAGATTCTTGGACTCCTCGATGGCGCAAACTATATTCTCAAAATTGTTTCTCAACGAATTTAAGATCTTTTCCACAACTCGGTTGGCAGACACCATTTCTGTCGAGTTGATTTTTTACAGTCTCCACCCGAGTTATGTACTTGGCTACTCATTCTTTCTCTTTCATTCTCTAGTTTTTAAACTTTCCTCTAAGAGTTTGAAGCCAAACTTGCTTAACACGAGTATCCCCTTTATATGCAATTTTCAAGATCTCTCACGCTTATCTTGAAGATGCAGTTTTTGCTATTTTCTCAAAGTCAGATTCGTCCACGACTATGTACAATAGATACAAAGCCAATTAGCCCTTCACTCGAGTTTTTCTCAACGCGACAATTTGTGCAATAGTCTGCTCTTCATCCTCCGCTAGTTCTTCGTATCCATTCTCTACTACATCCCACGCGTCTTGGATTCAAGAAAAGCCTTCATTTGTAGATTCCAATTATCATAATTGGTTTTCTTCATCAATTACGATAGGAACATACCGTTTACAAGATTTGACATCTCACTCTCTTTTCCTCAAATACTCAAGCACGCTTCTTTCTCTATTTTTTCACTCTAGCACTATCTTTCTTTTTTCGCACTCAAACACTCAAGCCTTAGCTCTGATACCAATTTGTAAAAAATAAATGACACAAAAAATTTTGAATTATAACTTTGTGTAAATTCATTGAATAGAGCAGGCCATTAAATAGTCGTATATCAATAACTGAATACTGATCATCGAATACTTGAAAATAATATTGACCAAATAACTTCCGAATATATCAAGAATATAAAAAAAACCAACTACAACAAAACACAAATAGAAACATATGCGACAACTGACAAACCTGAACCCAACAACAACAAAAAAATAGAAAAGTACAACTTAAATGAAAAACAAAAAACTAAAACGTAATTACAAATAAACCCTAAATTTAAGTTTATCCCAACCCTATATCTACGTTGAATGATGTAGTTCTCACACTCATACTCAATGTTTCCTTGTTATGTATCACAATAATATATAAAATTCACTGAATTTTATTTACTGAAAACTTAAAAACATGATTTTAATACTTTCATTGAAGAGAAAATACAAATTACGTGACCATGCCTATCAATCAATAAAGTACAATATCTTTATGTAAAAGGAAATTTTCATACCAGTGCTTTTTATAATTGATTACAATTTATGGCTATATGAAGTTATCAAATTATATTTTTAGGAATATTTAGTGCATATAAGTAGAAGTATTAAACATTTAATTAAAAATTGCCACAATAATGCTTCTTTTTTGTTTTTTATTGTAGGAGAAAGATTAACAACGAAAGAGACAATTCAAATATCACCAAGTATGGCTGAGATGAAAACAGGAGACTTTTTTTGGCTCAACATGGGAGNTTGCTCCACTTTCAATTTTACCTCTTTGCATGACACACGCAAATTTCTGAATTGTAACTTTGTGTAAATTCATTGAATAAAACAGGCCATTAAATAATTATATATCAATAATCGAATACTGATCACCAAATACATGAAAATAATATTGACCAAATAACTGCCCTAATATATCAAGAATAAAAAAAGCACCAAGTACAATGAAACACAAATAGAAACATATACACAACTAACAAACCTGAATCCAACAACAACAAAAATAGAAAAAATACAATTTAAATGAAGAACAAAATACTGAAACGTAATTATAAATAAACCCGAAATTTAATTTTATCCCAACACCATATCTTCATTTAATGAATGATGTAGTTGTCACACCTTATTTAGTATCACAATAATATATAAAATTCATTGAAATTTATTTATTGAAAACTAAAAAACATGATTTTAATAGTTTCATTAAGGAGAAAATACAAATTACGTGACCATGCGTATCAATCAATACAGTATGGTATCTTTACATAAAAAGAAGTTTTCATACTAATTTTTTTATAATTGATTACAATTTATAGCTATTTATGAAGTTATCACATTATACTTTTAGGAGTATTTAGTGCATAGTATTAAACATTGAATAAACAATTGTCACAATAATGCTTCTGTTTTGTTTTTATATTGTAGGAGTAATATTAACAACGAAAGAGACAATTCAAATATCACCAAGTATGGCTGAGATGAACACAGGAGACCTTTTTTGGTTCAACATGGGAGACAAAATAGATGGTAAGATAATATTTCAGTATCTAATACACTGTTGTCAAAGCTTAAATTTGGCAGAATGGTGGCTCTGCAACACCACACATGAACTTGAACCTGGTGCATTATCATTTGTTCCTAAGCTCCTACCAATTGGTCCATTATTAAGAAGTTATGACAGTAAGTTTGGTATCACAAAAGCAATTGGACAATTCTGGGAAGAAGATCTGTCTTGCATGAGTTGGCTAGATGAACAACATCATGGTACAGTGTTGTATGTTGCATTTGGTAGTTTCACTCATTTTGACCAAAACCAGTTCAATGAACTTGCCCTTGGATTAGACCTCACCAATAGACCTTTTCTTTGGGTTATAAGAGAAGATAATAAAATGGAATACCCTCATGAATTCAAAGGGCATAAAGGTAAGATAGTTAGTTGGGCTCCTCAACAAAAGGTTTTAAGCCACCCTGCCATAGCATGTTTTGTCACTCACTGTGGTTGGAATTCTACCATAGAAGGTTTGTCCAACGGGGTACCTTTCTTGTGTTGGCCATATTTTGGAGACCAAATTCAGAACAGAAGATACATTTGTGATGAGTTGAAGGTTGGATTGGGATTTGACGAAGACCAAAATGGAGTTGTGTCATGCAAAGAGGTAAAATTGAAAGTGGAGCAAATCCTTAGTGATGAGAACACAAAATCAAGGTCTCTTGAGTTGAAGGAGAAAGTCATGAACAACATAGTCAAAGGTGGTGCATCATTGGATAACTTTAATAGGTTTGTCAAGTGGCTTAAAGAGTAGGAATTGCCATTTAAATTTAATTTATGCATATTTTATGTTAGAGAAAACTCTCGCAAAACCTTGGCAATATTTTCAAGCAATTGGATTTCTTGTTTACATGTCTTTTTATTCTNCTCTCTTTTCCTCAAATACTCAAGCACGCTTCTTTCTCTATTTTTTCACTCTAGCACTATCTTTCTTTTTTCGCACTCAAACACTCAAGCCTTAGCTCTGATACCAATTTGTAAAAAATAAATGACACAAAAAATTTTGAATTATAACTTTGTGTAAATTCATTGAATAGAGCAGGCCATTAAATAGTCGTATATCAATAACGGAATACTGATCATCGAATACTTGAAAATAATATTGACCAAATAACTGCCGAATATATCAAGAATATAAAAAAAACCAACTACAACAAAACACAAATAGAAACATATGCGACAACTGACAAACCTGAACCCAACAACAACAAAAAAATAGAAAAGTACAACTTAAATGAAAAACAAAAAACTAAAACGTAATTACAAATAAACCCTAAATTTAAGTTTATCCCAACCCTATATCTACGTTGAATGATGTAGTTCTCACACTCATACTCAATGTTTCCTTGTTATGTATCACAATAATATATAAAATTCACTGAATTTTATTTACTGAAAACTTAAAAACATGATTTTAATACTTTCATTGAAGAGAAAATACAAATTACGTGACCATGCCTATCAATCAATAAAGTACAATATCTTTATGTAAAAGGAAATTTTCATACCAGTGCTTTTTATAATTGATTACAATTTATGGCTATATGAAGTTATCAAATTATATTTTTAGGAATATTTAGTGCATATAAGTAGAAGTATTAAACATTTAATTAAAAATTGCCACAATAATGCTTCTTTTTTGTTTTTTATTGTAGGAGAAAGATTAACAACGAAAGAGACAATTCAAATATCACCAAGTATGGCTGAGATGAAAACAGGAGACTTTTTTTGGCTCAACATGGGAGACAAAATAAATGGTAAGATAGTATTTCAGTATTTAAGACATTGTTGTCAAAGCTTAAATTTGGCAGAATGGTGGCTCTGCAACACCACACATGAAGTTGAACCTGGTGCATTATCATTTCTTCCTAAGCTCCTACCAATTGGTCCATTATTAAGAAGTTATGATAGTAAAATTGGTATCACAAAAGCAATTGGACAATACTGGGAAGAAGATCTATCTTGCATGAGTTGGCTTGATGAACAACAACATGGTACAGTGTTGTATGTTGCATTTGGTAGTTTCACTCATTTTGACCAAAAGCAGTTCAATGAACTTGCCCTTGGATTAGCCCTCACAAATAGACCTTTTCTTTGGGTTATAAGAGAAGATAATAAAATGGAATACCCTCATGAATTCAAAGGGCATAAAGGTAAGATATTTAGTTGGGCTCCTCAACAAAAGGTTTTAAGCCACCCTGCCATAGCATGTTTTGTCACTCACTGTGGTTGGAATTCTACCATAGAAGGTTTGTCCAACGGGGTACCTTTCTTGTGTTGGCCATATTTTGGAGACCAAATTCTGAACAAAAAATATATTTGTGATGAGTTGAAGGTTGGATTGGGATTTGACAAAGACCAAAATGGACTTGTGTCACGCAAAGAGGTAAAATTGAAAGTGGAGCAAATCCTTATTGACGAGAACACAAAATCTAGGTCTCTTGAGTTGAAGGAGAAAGTCATGAACAACATAGTCAAAGGTGGTGCATCATTGGAGAACCTTAATAGGTTTGTCAAGTGGCTTAAAGAGTAAGAATTGCCATTTGAATTTAATTTATGCATATTTTATGTTGGATAAAATAAAACTAGACATTTTGATGAAAACTCTCACAAAACCTTAGCAATATTTTCAAGCCATTGAGATTTCTTATTTACATGTCTTTTTATTTTATAGCGTCAAAACAACGCAATGTTATTATGTAGCTTTTTTTTTCTTTATTTCCTTTGAGATCGTATTGTACGAACCATTGTTCATGTATATATTATTATGAATTATATATTTAACATATTTTTCGTATAAAAAAATCATGAAATTCGTCATGTAGACATTTTTATGTATAAAACATTTCTTCATCTAAAGAAACCACATCCAATTCTTTAAAGCTAAATAATAATGAATACCACTGTTATTGTCACTTTTGATTTATAATCGAGTATACAATTAGTCCCGACTATCTAAATATAGGAAATCTCCCTAGATAAAATAAAAAATGTCTCTCCAACTTTATTAAACATTTGTTAATAGTTCCTCTGTTAGGGTCACCTAATCTTAGATTCCTTATAGATACAATCAAAAGTCAAGCCGGTCGACCTCAACCGAAGGTCAAATTGAGTCACTTTGGATGGAAGGTCGAATATAGTAAACTTAGTCTTAAGGTCGATCAGAGTTGGTTCGAGTCAAAGGTCGAGATGAGTCGACTTAGGGTGTAGGTAGAACCAAGTCGACCTATATTACAAGTCGAACCTAATTAGCCAGGGTCGAAGGACAAGAAAAGTCAAATCGAAATAAAGGTTGGGATCAGTCTCTTCATACTTAAGGTCAAGTAAAGGTGGAGCAGAGTCGCTTGGACTGAAGGTTGAGCTGAGTCAACTAGGAACAAGGTTGATCTGAGTCAACATGAGCTTAAGATCGGCTTGAGTCAACCCCAAATGAAGGTTGATAAGGGTCATTCTTGGTTGAAGATCGAATAGAGTCAACTCAGGTAGATGGTCGAGCTAAGTCAGGTCAGGTCGAAGGTCGAGCCAAATCATTTTGGATCGAAGGTCGATCCGAGTCTGTCGGTTATAAAAGTTGAGATGAGTTAGCCTAGACAGAAGGTCATGATTTAACCACATGGACACAAAGGCAAGTTGAAGGTTGAGTCAAGTTGGCTTGGACAAAAAGTCGAGCTAAGTCTTCCTAAGCTAAAAGTCATCGGGTTGAGGCAACCTGTTATAAAGGTTAGGATGAGTCAGCTTAGACTGAAGGTCAAAATGAGAAAACATAGACTTAAGGTTATGTTAATGGTCGAGTCGAGTTTACTCAAGTTGAAAATTAAGCCAAGTGTCAACACCCAATTTTGTTCGGGTAATTTATAATATAAAAATAAAAAAATTGAAAAAATAATAATAAATGTATAAAATTAAAAAATGTAAATACTTCTTACATCTTATGATGTTTACTTTGTTTTGTCAATCATTATGGTTAAAGTTGATTTTAATTGATTTGATTTTATTTCATGTGATTATGTTTTTATTGTGTTTGATCTTATTTTTGATTTTGTGATTTTGTGTTGTTTGATATAACTTTATTTGATCTTATTTTGTGTGATTTTATTTGATTTTTGTATTTAAATTTATTTCATGTGATTTTATTACTTGTTTCAATTGTATTTGTTTTAAATTGATTTTATTTGATTGAGTTTGATTTTATTTATGATATTTCAGGTTATTTTATTTTCACTTTCGTGATTTATCACTCTATTTAATATGTTTCATTTTTATTTATTTTATTTTGATTTGATTTTTATTTGATTTAATTGGATTATATCTTACTTTATTTGATTTGTTTGTGATTGTTTACTTCTTTTTAATTTTTACTCCCCTTTCGTTCGAAACCTTTCCACCTCTGTCTCCAATTATTCTCCACCATTTTCGTACAATCAATTAATTGTGTAGCTAATTATTCTTCAGTTACCGACACTTTTCAACCCACCATGCAATAATTTGCTCAGCCCAGGCAATCCCTCTTCAGTTTTTCCTAAGCCAATTAGCCTTACCGACACTCTCATCCTGTGAATTCTAGAAATGGGGACGAATTCCTCTTTCACTCCTTTCATCATCTCTTTCACTTTTTATCTCTTCATTCTAACCTCCCTAACCATCAGTTCATCTTCATCATCCTCCATGAATTCCATTCCTGCATTTAATCGAAAGAAAAGGCAACATCAAAATCACCTTCCTGTGTCCAGAGATCAAAATCACTTTCCTGTTACCATGTCTGTTGCCACTGGATAAAATTATAAAATTACAAAATTTTAAAAATGGTTTTAGGACTTTTAAGAATACCTTTTGATAAAATGTTTCTTTATTTAAAGAATAAAATTAAAAATGGTTTTCTTGTAAATAAGTGTAAATGTTTGTGTGACTATTTTTATTATTATGTAGGCTCGGACTTGTTTAATAATATTTTTTGAATAATAATTTTGGTTCGGATTTGTTTGATAATTTAACTTTTTATAATAATTAAAAATAATTATTACCATGTCAAGTCTCATATTTGTTTAGTAATTAAATAAAAATTTAAAAATAGTTTTCTTATTTAATGTAAATATTTATATAATTTGTTTTTTTTTCTATCTTAAATTTTATAAACAATTCAAAAATCATAAAAAACACAACCTTCAAAAATCATCAAAATAATTTTATCTCAATTTTACGTTGAGCTTATTGATTTCATCATGATATGTTTTTTTTTTCAAAATAATTCAAAAATACAAAAAAAAAATATAAAATCTCTAAAATCAAAAATATCAACTTTTTTTCAAATGGCAACAACCAGAACTATGTGATTCTTGATTCTCTATAAAAAATGGAGATACGTAGGAGCAAGGCAGTGCCTTGTCAGGTTTATCTCCCTAAATATCCAAAATTATCCTTAATCACTTTCCAAATAAATTTTCCAAACAATTTCTCAATTTTTCAAAAATATTTTTGTTCCATTTTTATTGTCTTGAACAGTTATTTTGAGGGAAAATAACCATTTTGAAAACCACATCAACTTTGCACGTTTAAGTCAAGTTCGAGTCAAGTCAGTCCGGGCCGAAGGTTGAATAGAGTTGACCTGGTATAAAGGTTAGAATGAATTAACCTAAGATAATGCTCAAGCCAAGTCAACAAAGGTTGAAGGTTGGGCTGAGTTTGCCTATGCTAAAGGTCAAATCTAGTTGACCATGTATAAAAGTCAAGATGAGTCGACGTGGACTAAAGTCGAGATGAGTTAGCTTGGACTTAAAGTTAGGTTGAAGGTCGAGTCGACTCGGCCCAAATTGAAGATCAAGCCAAATTGACCCAGACTTAAGGTTAAGTCGAGTCGACTAGGGTCGAAGATCGATCCGAGTCAACCCGAGTTAAAGGTCAATCCGAGTCAACCTAGGTCAAAAGTTGATCCGAGTTGACTCGTGTCAAAGGTCGAGCCAAGCCGACCCAAACTAATGGTCACATTGAGTTTGCTCGTTTAGAGGTTAAGACAAGTTGACAGATGCTCATATCATGACAAGTGAGTCCATGCCCAATTTGAATCAAATCAGCTTTGTCCGATATTGAAGTGAGGTAACGAGACCCAAGTCGAGGCAAGGGAATCAAACTTAGATTAACACAAGTCAAATTATGTTCAAGTCATGCTTAGCTAATCCAACTTATAGCTAATAGACTTAATACTCAAATATATTATATCATTTGCATTTGATTTATTTAAATTGACAAGAGGAAACTCAATCTAGATTTAATCATATTTGAATTAAATTGAAAAAAATCTAAAACTAAATCATCTAGTTAAAATGGATTTGGATTATAATTCCATATTTTATTGGGTCTAGACAAGATTTAGACTAGATTTTGAGAAATACATGACCACACTTAATTAAGTTTATTAAGCTTGTTGCACACAAGATGAATAAATTAGACACACCAAAATAGTCATTTTTACAAACTTGAATATCAAAGAACACGCATATTAAGGCACCTCCATCTCTGTTTTGACACCAAGGACAACAAGATCTCTGTCAACGAGCTGGACAACTTCCTCAGAGAGATGTCGCACCATGGTGGCTTTCATTTTGCCTGAACAGTTGATGTTTTCAAGGGGAATGAAAGAGGACTTAAAATTCTTGCAACTGTCACAATCATTGTATTTCTTAATTTGATTAGCCACACATAGGAGAATCAGCCAAAACTATGCAATAGGAATACTATTATTATTATTTGGCAGCAATTAAAGAGTTTCCAACAATATATGCTTTCATAAGTGTAATAAAAGTAATGATAATTGTAATATTTCATACTTCTTTTAATCATTCCATGCACATGTAATTTTTTAAATGAGTTTTTTTTTTAATGTTAGGAACTACTGTGCACCTCTTCCTAATTTAAAGAAAAATATTATATGTAAAAATTAATTACGAGTTAACTAACGATTAAACATGCATATGATTAGTTGAGTTAATTTTAAATTAAGTACTCTTATATTCATATTTGAGTTTTCTATTTTCTTTTTGTTTGGGTGTCATTCGTGACATTTTGATTACATTGAACATATGATGTGGTAAAAATGTGTTTTGATTTTACTTACACTCAATTAATGTATGTAGATAAAAGTGTGTAAGATATACATAGTTTTTTGGTTTGTGGATGTTTTTTATTTCGACATTCGTTAGGTACTCCAAACACGAAAGACCAAATGCAGAAAAACATGAACTCTTACGTGTGGCTGTCTTTTTTTCAAGTAAATATTAATTAAGAAAAATGTGAATAACATAAATTATGGTCTTTTGACTAGGTTAACGTTTATGGAAAATTGACGAAATCGTTATCTTACAAACTAGCCTTTCTTATGTGTGAATGTTCACACCAATCTGTCTATTTGTGTTTTAAATACGAACATCATTTCGAACACCATTTCGTAACGAAATAGTATTCTTCTTTTTTTCCCTGAAATGCAATTAGCTGCAAAATCTATGGAAACTTATTCGCAAAATCCAATATCACGAATTGGAAAAGTAAGTGATCAAAGAAAGAAAACAAATTGAAAAATATTCTTTTAACAACTTTTTTTTTCACAACTTTTTTTCTACCATTGTCATTGATTTATTTCAAATGTACAAACTGATAAAATAATAACATATATTTTATTATCAAAAAATTGTTAACATGGTCCAAACAGGTTATTTCCATTTTTAATTTACAAAAAATTTGTCAAATTTTA